AGATCGTTATTTTTAAAAAGCCCCCAAACCTAATAAAAACCCAACAGAACAAAAAAATCCCAACCACACAGAAACCACACGCTTGGGCACAGATTGCATAAATGTCCGTGCGGGGTCTCTGCTGCCTGATGCTTACTTGAGAGTCAAGTGTTTAAAGACACGGTGGAAATCACCCAAAAACACGCAGCGGCAGGTCACCAGCTGCCCGGGAGGCCGCTGATTGCAGTGGGGAATATCCTTCTGCTGCCCCGCTCCCCGCCGCCGGGCACGGCTTCAGCCTGGCAGCGGGCAGGGTTCCGAGAGCCGGGTCAGGATGCCCTGCCCCGCGGGGCCCGCTGTGTGCCACCAGCGAGGGCGGCTGGAGCTGAAGCTCGGCCTCTGAGCGCCCGGCAGCCCTTCGTTAGGAATTTCGGGGAAAGAAAAAATAATCCCTCCTCATCCTTGATAGTTTGGGGGTCCGTCCTCGTCGTGGGACACATCTGATCTATCGCAAAGGGCGCGTTCACCCTGCCCGCCCCTGCCCGTGCTGTGGTGTGTGTAGGGGGTCTCGCTGCTTTGGGCGTCAATTTTGGCTGATCACCACCCTTAGCTCCCCGGGCTGTCCCACCCGGCCAGAGACAGAGGTGATGGGTGATGTCACAGGCCCCTATCCCGCTGAAATCCATCCCTCCCCGGCGGACGCGGATTGCTCCGGCCGCCGTTCGTGCGCGGCCGGCAGCTCCCGCTGGGCTGAGCGCTCCCGAGAGTCCCGATCGATATGTCCCCTCCAATGTCACAGCCGCTGGGCAATGGAAACACTCCGTATCGTGGGGTGGCCTTGATAAAAGTATATTTTAAGTAGCGCGGATAAGCGAAGGGAAGAAGAGAGGGGGAGAGGTGCCGGCACGTCGCCCGTAATAACCGCGGCGCTTATCAGCCCGGCCTAAACTCCCCAGCAGTTTCTAAAGTACATTAAGTTACATAAACACGTCTCGGAAAAGAATACACTCCAGCCTGCGATAGCCACCAAAGTGACCCCTCGCACCGCCCCGCAGCCCAGCCCGCCGGGCCCCCGCGGCCGCGGCAGCATCGGGGCCCGGCCCGCGGGCCATGCCCGGAGCTCCCGGGGCTCTCCGGGCCGAGGGGCAGCGAGGGTGCGGCCGGACCGAGCCTTCCCCTCCTCCCTAGGGCACCCCTGGTAAGGGATCACGCTTGCGGAGACCCGAGAGTGGGGGAAGCAGCAACAGCTCAGCGCCTGCACACGGCTTACCCCCACCCCTTTTTTGGGAGGCTGAAGTGCCCGCGAGGGAATTTGCCTTAATTGGACACGAAACTTTTTTCCCCCCCAGTCGGCCTTCTTCCCTCTTTGGGCGCAACCACCAGGAGCGATGGTCACCTCGTTGGCACTTCCTCCCCGGCGGTGTCCTCCCTCAACCGAGCACCCCCTGGCCCCAAAAATGTCCCTGCACAGGCACCCCGGGACCCAATCCAGGCGTGGTGCAGGAGACACCTGGGAGCCTCCCGGAGCCCCGGGGTGAAAGCTACGTCAGCAGAGCGGGATTTGGGAAAGGAGTGACGTAACGAAGAGTTAGGAGTCTGTGATTCGAGCGGTTCCACAGCGAACCCGAAACGAAAAGGAGTGGAGAGGAAAGGGGTGACTGGGGATGGTTTCCCACGCCGGTCTCCCAGTTTAAGGCGGGTTTTCTTATCGTGTTTATCGGAGGAAATAAAATGAAGCTTGTAGCCCGCCTATAACGTAAACAGGCTAATCGGCAGGGAAAAAACCCGAGGCGCCTGAGTGTAAAACACGGGGCACTTTGGAGCCAGGGAAAGAGGCGCCTGCCAGGCCAACGTGGCCGCTCTTCCCAGCCATCCTCACCTTTCGGGCAGACACCCTCCGGGCCCGGGCGGGTCCCCACGGCCCCACATGGGGACATGAGCACCGGCAAACCCCTCCCAGCGAGCAAAGCCCGTCGCTTGAAAAAAACCTTCACGGTATTTATCACTTTATATCCACCTTTACATGTGTTTGAAACACCCTCGTGTTTAACTGGAAAAGGGGCATCCAAAAGACTGAAAGGAAACGCGAGGTTTAAAGCTCGGCGCTTTTCAGCACAGAAATTCGTAGTGGCAGCACCCAAGCTGCGGAAATGCGACGTGGGCACCGAGTCCCGCGGCTTCCACTGCTCTTGTCTCTCATTTGCAGGTAAAAACCACGGCAAAAAAGTTTTACGTTTCAAACTAGGATCGGAAGACGAGCCGGGCAGAAAGCAAATCACTGCCCTGTCTTGCAAAAGCTTATTTTCTATTAAATATCGCACTCGCTAAAATACGCCTATAAGTAACCAGGAAAAAAGTCACTTCAGCCTGGTAGGATGACCGATATTATTTAACGATATTATTTAGAGACAACTGACAAGAAAGAAGTATCACCTTTAATCATACAATTTAATAAAGAAACGGTTTCTCGGGAAAGTGATTGTTTTCCGAACAAGCCCCTGCCGCGCTATACCGCAAAAATTACCGCGCACAATAAACTCCCAAGTCACAATCAGTTCACCCTCACTGGCAGAGCGGATCGCTACAGCCGGTGTTTTACCGTACCCCCAGCACTGCAAATTCTTCACCTCCCGTTCACCTCGCCTGGAAAGAGCGAAAGAAAAGCCGTGCCTACCCCAGGAGCGACAGCACGGCGCATCAGCGGCTTTGGGCTCGGTTTCTGCCGGGAGGGCTCACGCCTGCCGGCTGCCGAGAGCCCGGCTCTGCTCTAGTCCAGCCCTTTGCCGCAGATGACTTTCTGTACAAACTGATGATGACAGATATCCAGCTGATAACCTCTGGTGAACGAAGTTATTTTAATTTCCAGTCACTTTCCTGCTAAGTACCATATCAGTTTGTACACAGCTGAGATAAGAGGGTTGAGGAGCGGGGGGGTAATAAGAAAGAAACAGAGGAAAAATGCCTACCGCCAGCTGTTGGGATGGACACATCCCACAGCTTGCTTTGGCTTCACCTGATGGTCGGGGCAACTCAAGGAGGAGCCACATTTTTTCATCTCGGATAGCTCGCATTTGGAGGAGCACAAATTAAGGAGATTTGATGGAGGGATACGTCCGCCTGGTTGCTTAGGGCAAAAGCCAGGCACACATCTCCCCCGGGGCCGCTGCCAGGGGACATTCTCTGACATGCCGGGAGGCGCGGAGAAAAGAAAAAACCCTTACAGAAGTTGAACATTCACCATTAAAAAGAAAAAATATATCCGGGAAGGAGGGAAGAGTGTGTATTATTTCTGGGTTAAAATAAATTAAACAACAAAAAAAAAAAAAGGTGGTGGGGGGGAAAGAGACTGGGGTATCTGTCAGAGCTCTGTGTTCGTTCCTGCTCCCCGAGCAGGGGTCCCTCGCCCCTTGGCTGTGGGCGCCCCGAGGTGCCCCCCGCCCCCGCCCCGGGGCTGCGGCGGCCCGGCCGGCCCCGGGACTGGCACCCCTGCGGAGCCCCGTGTTTGTTTAGGGCTGGCCGAGCCCAATCAGGGCCGGCTGCCTGCAGTTTTCCGGCAGGGCTGCGAGAGGCGCCTCCTCTCTCCTTTTTATACATGAGCCGCCGGCCGCCGCCGCCGGAGTCGCCGCCGCCGCTCGCCCCCGCCGCACTGGATTTACCGCCCGACGCGGCCCCGCGCCCCGGCGCCATGCGGGACACCGGCACCAGGTTTGGCCCCTCTCTTTCCTCGCCTCGCCGCGGTTTCCCTCGTTCTTTCTGGGTCTTGCGCCGCTGCCTGTTTGCCCTAGGGGAGCGCGGCGCGGCGGCGGCTGCCCCGGGCTGGGGGAGCCCGAGGGAGAGAGACTGTGTGGGCAAACATCCGATGCCGCTGCCTGGAGCGCTTATCTGCCGGAGCCTTATCTTCCAGTTATCTCGCAGGAGGCAGAGACGTATTTGGTGCCTATCTGCGAGGGGGCTCTGTGTGTGTCCTGTGTTCTTGTGCCTGTGGTTATCTGGAGTGCCCCGAGGTGGGCTGAGAGCGGAGAGCCTCGCCTGCTCTCGCTGTCACTTCTCTGTGTCCCCTTTCGCTTTCTCCCCCTTCTCCTAGGGGCCGGGCAGCGGGCTCTCTGTGTCTGTCTGTCCGGCCTTCCTCATGCCGGCAGCTCCGAACTGGCCCCGCTCGGCTCGGCAAGGGTGTCCCGGCTGCAAGGTGTGCAGGGCTCGGGGCCGGCCCCCAGCCCGGGCTGCCCGCTGGATCCGGCCCCTGCGGGAGGCGCATCCCGCCCGGCTCGGTCCGGTCCCGCCGCCGCCGCGCACACTTCGGGCCCGGCCCGTGCGCATCTCCCGTCCCTCAGGGGCCTTTCCCTCCTCCTCCTCCTCCTCCTTTCCGTGACCTTGGGCTGGAAATAGGCAAACAAGCGAGGAAGAGCTAACATCGCTCTGCGGCGAAGTAACCTTAAAGGGATCGCCTTACTAATTGTTTTCTCGGTGGAACCGAGTCAAATGACTCATTCATTGAAATAATCATAACAACGACAGCAGCCAAGAAAGGGCGGCAGAGACAGAGAAAAATGCCCTCTCGCCCCCCTCTGTCCCCACGCCCTTACGCCCACCTTTGCCCCGGCGTGCTTCACGTTCAAATCCGCAGCCCGGGATGCGAAGGGAGAGGGGAGCAGCCCTCCCGCCGTGCGGAGAGCGGGGCCGGAGCCGCAGCCCTGGCCCCGCGGGACTGGCGTCTCCCGGCTCGTCTTGGCCTGGGCCGCCTGATCCCATCCCGCTGGGGCGAGGGACAACACAGCGCCGAGGCGACATGACTGATTGAGCGCTCAGAGGGGCCAGATAAGCCCTGATGAATCTCATTACGAGAGGGAGACGGGCTGTCCTGTTTGCAAACTTTGTTGTTATTATTTCTCTCTCCCCCACTTCCCTGTTCTTTTGTGTCCTCCCTCCCCGCCCTGCCCTGCGGATCCCCCCTCCACTCCTCCTCCTCCTCCTCCCCTCCTCGCCCTTCCCCATCCACACCCAGCGGCTAGAAGGGGACCTGGATGGCCGTGGCTGAAGGCGGCTGGTGCGCGGTGAAGCGGTGCGCTGCTGCGGACGCCGGCGGTTCCTCCTGTCCCTTCGCGACCAGGGAGCCGCGCCCGTCTCCTCCTTCGCCTTCCTCCTCCTGCGGCTCCCAGGGTGAGCGCGGATCCTGCAGCACTCCTCGGCCGGAGACCGACGGCAGCCACCGGCCGCCCCCCGCCGCCGCCGAGGGCAGGTCGCTGCTCGCCCCCTACGTGCACTTCGGGACCCCGCACCCCTCCGGCCGTGCCGGCTGGGAGGACATCCTGCTCTTCGCGGACTTAGACCAAACCAGCAAGCTGATCTGGTCCAGCCGCGGCCCCAAGCTGAGCGCCCTCGGCGCCGAGCAGCCCGAGGAGATGTACCAGACCCTCGCCATCTCGGCCGCCCAGGGCCCCACGCCGTACGACGGATCTCCGGGCGGCTTCATGCACTCCACGCCCAGCTCGCCCGTCTACGTGCCCACCACCCGCGTGGGCTCCATGCTGCCCACGCTGCCCTACCTGCAGGGCAGCGGGGCGGCCCAGCCCAGCCACCCGGGCGGCGGCCACGCCGTCTGGTCCCAGCCGGCCGCGGAGAGCCCCTCGTACAGCAGCGGCGGCGGCTCCCACCCCTCGGGCCGCTTCCCCTACTCGCCGAGCCCGCCGGTGGCCAACGGGGCCTCCCGGGAGCCCGGCGCCTACAGCAACAGCCTGGGCGCCAGGGACCAGTACAGCCCGCTGGCCCGGCCGCTCAATGGCTCCTACCCGGGCCCCTACACGTCCTACGTGGGGCCGCAGCTCGCCCCTGCCTGGCCCACGGCGCCCTTCGAGAACTCCATGCTGCACTGCCTCCAGGGCCGGGCCGCCCCCATCCCCGTGCGGGCACCCAGCGCAGGTAGGAGCCGCGGGCCGGGCAGGGCGGGCAGGGCCGGGCCGGGAGGGTCCCCGCACGCCGGGGCTGCCCCCGGAGGGGCCGCGGGGGTGCCGGGGGCGCGGGGAGCGGCGGCGGGGCTGCCCCGGCCGGGCCGGGGGTCGCTGGCGAGGGGCGGCCCCGCTGTCCGTGTCCGTGTCAGGACGGCGGTCCCGGGACCGCGGCTGTTCTCGAGCGGAGGTAACTCCTGTCGTTTGTGTTGAGTTAGGGGAAAAATGCTCCTCCAAAAATGCTCCTCCAAAAATGCTCCTCCAAAAATACCCCTCCAAAAATACCCCTCCGGCGTTGTTTGGAGTATGGCAATCGGGGTTACCAATCCTAATATCCCAAAACGGATTGCCCGGTGTAAACTTAATTTTTAAATTTTCCCAAATCAGTACATTCCTGCTTTCCTTAAGTGCGGTTATCTGGACAAGGAACGGTGACAAATTCACTGCAAATTAATAGTTCTTTGTATCATAGAGGAAAATTGCAGGGGCTCACTTAACCCAGTTTGGATTATTTCAGCTATAAAACACTTCGTTGCTTCATTAAAAAAGAAAAGCAGCGAAGCAAAATCTCGTATATGAATGAGGAAACGTAATTTATGAACTGCTGCTAAAATACAGCACCTCCTGAGGGGTTTTGATTTCATTTCCGAGATGCCCCATCGTTATTTTTTGTTTTAGGAGATTCTCGGTGTCATTAAATCAATTGTAGAAGTGGAGTTTGAGCTGCGATGATTTAGTCAGAGGTAGAAAGATTAAGGATTATTGCAATCTGTTCAGCTTTAGAATAAATCTATGTATATATAAATAGAGGTTTATAGACAGGTGTGTGTGGCTATGTATATGTATTTATATATACATGCTCTGCATATATTTATTATGTATATATACATATTTATGTAAATATGTGTATGCACACAGATTTGATCGTCATTCACTTTAAACATAAACTACCCACCAGGTGCATATATTTTATAGACACCGTGATTTTCTCTTTCAGTGCAGTGTTGCAGAAAATTACCCCGTGGATTTTTGTCTTTCTGTAGGGCTGTACACACAATGCTCCTCCCGTCTGTCGATGACACCCTGTAGATTTAATTATTTTAATCCTCCCACTTGGTGTTTAGTACTCTGACAGAGGGAAGAAATTCAGTTGTAGCAGTGATAGGAGAAGCCACATCTCAGGGTAACAAGAAAGCTGAGTTTTAAACTCAACTTTAAAAAGTTATAGTGTGAAACTGGGTGATGGAGAGCAAAACAATCAATCGTGTTTTCAAATTTTTTTAATTATTATTTTTTTAATTTTATCGGGAGAGACGTGGGGCTGGAAAATCTCACGGCAGGGAGAGGAGAGGGGTGAGTGAGAAGGAGCAGAGAGGCGCAGGAGCCGGGCGCTGCTGGGGGAGGCTGGGGCAGGAGTGTCAGGGCAGCCGAGGAGCGCGGCAGCTTCCCCGGGTCCAGCGGGTCTGTGCCGCCCCTGTGCCTCCCCCCCACGGTGCTGAGGGCCGGAGGGGTCGGGATTCACCTTTTCCTGAGGGAAAGGACGGGTGCCAGCGCAGCCGCAACGCGGTGTAACGCGGGGGAAGCAGCCCGGAGCTCCAGGGCCAGGCGAAATTTCTGCTCCTGTGGGGCAAAACGCGGCTGCAAAGCCGAAGGTACGCCTTGTCCCGTGTCAAAATTGTGGGAAAATTGTAGCCGGAATGTATTTTTTACGGCTAAATATTAGACAGTTTGATTAAGCTTTCTTAACGGTACTCGTAGAGATGCTAAAACAGTATCTAAAATTAAAACTTTATTTTGTTTGCTTTGGAAAGAAGTGTAGTACTCACTCTCTAAGGGGAAAAATATTTGAAAATGCCCGAGAAATATTGTCAAGGCAGAATTTGTTTCTGCAAGCCCGAAGGCAATGCTATAAAATAAATAGCCGAGACAAAATACTGTTTTAAGTTCCAGAGTCCTTGACGTCCTAAACATTTTTCTGGTTACAGTCTTCAATGGCGCTTTTAGTGCAAAGATTAATAAATCTTAGCGATGTGCTAAGAGCTAGGAGCTGACACCGTAAGTTGAACTGTGCTCTCTGGGCTGTGCCGTGTGCCCGTTCCTCTTTAGCGCCTAATAATTCGCAAACGAAGGGAGGAGAGAAGCGTGTTTGGGTGGGTGCGGGCCAAAAGGCCGAGTCTTTCTCAGCTCAGTGCCCGTCGTGGCACCGCAGCCCACTCTCCAAAGCTGCTCGACCTTTACGTGCTCGCTTTCGCTGCGCAGTGAAACTTTAGGGAATAACCCAATGAGGAATTTAGGCAGGTAGCAGAGGGAGGAAATAAAAAATCAGTGACGAAGCTCTGAGTCTGAAACATACGTTCCCAGATTCGACTCGAAAGCTGCTGTAAAAATCCAAACATCTCCTTTTATTATTTCTGCACAACGTGGCACAGTCTATGTAAAACAAGTATTTATTCCCTCCTCCCCCGAAATATGGAAATATGGAGAGGTGAATCAGAACAGGGATTCGCATGGGTGAAAGTATTAGCTTTTATAGGTGGGTTTTCTCTCTCTTCTTTCTTTTCTTCCCCCCCCCCCCCCCCCCCGTGCTTTTATACCTTTTTTTCCCTTTCAGTAACTATGAAAGGAGGAGGCACAATACCGCTTATTTTTCCATTTCCTCTGTTTCCTACAAACCAGCTCTAATTTGACCAAATAGCCGAGGCGAAGCAGCCACTGCCCCTCGCTGCCTTGGCACACCAGGGCCCCAAACGCTGCCTCCAAACTAGAAGCTTTACTAGTTTGAGAGGCATTTAAAGGCATTTTGAGAGGCATTTAAAATGAGAATTAAGGTAGAAAAGTTCTTGCCCAGCTTCGACCCTGGGGAATATTGGGCAAAACGACATATCCAGCTCCCGGGGTGGTTCTGGAAGTGGCTATTCTGACAGCCACCTCACTCTGCTCCCCTCTGAAGGCAAGCGCACCTCCCTTTCCGCCTAGTGGGCACCACGGAGGGGGTTTCGCTCCTCGAGTGGACCCCAGGCGGATTTCCCAAGGGTCAAATCCCGCCGGGAGTGTGCGGCGGGCCGGGGCTGAGTGTCCGGGGCGCTCCGGCTCTGCTGCGGCTCGGAGGGCAAGAGCTCCGCCGGGGCCCGCAGCGGCTCCTGCACGTTTAAATAAATAGAAAAAAACCCCAAAAAAACTAAAACCCACCCAAACCCAATAAACAAACAAAGCAAAAAAAGAAAGGAAAAGAAAAATCCAGGGATTTTGTAGAAAAAATCCCGGCATGGCCGCCGTCGCTGCCGGGGAATTGCTTTTCCGAGGGCCGCTCGCTCGCTCGCCCGGGGCCCGGGTGTCGGCGGGGCTGTACCGGGCTCGGCGGAGCCGTACCGGGCTCGGCGGCCGTGCCCCACCGCTTGTCCCTGTGCTCCTGCCCGCAGAGCTGCTGGAGGACCTGTCCGAGAGCCGCGAGTGCGTCAACTGCGGCTCCATCCAGACCCCGCTGTGGAGGAGGGACGGCACCGGCAACTACCTGTGCAACGCCTGCGGGCTCTACACCAAAATGAACGGCCTCAGCCGGCCCCTCATCAAGCCCCAAAAGAGAGTGGTGAGTCGGGAGGGAGGGGAGGAGGGCGCCGAGAGGAGCTTTGCCCCAAGGAACCCCAGCCAGCTGAGGCGAGGGAGAAATTTGGGGCAAAGATGGGGGAGAGCAATCCGTGGATTAGCCTGGTGATCCTCTCGGCTGTAAAACTGTAGTGGGGCTCCTGTGCAGGTTTGCAGGCCAAACTGGTCACAGTGAGGGGTGACAGGGCTGCCTGCCTTTTGGGAACCGCTTCGCATCCACTTCCAGGCAAAATCTCTCTCTGCCCCCTTGTGAGCTGCACACCAGGCATGGGCCAGCCTGGCTTTTCAAGCTATGAGCCCCATCTGTGAGGGGGATTCAGTGGCTTGCAAGAAATTTGTGCTGCTGATGTTGGACAGAAAAAAAAAAAAGAAAAAAGAAAGAAATCAAGGTTAGAAAATGTTTGTTCAGAAGGCTAGGAATTTCTCCAGACCTGCTTTGTTTGCTGAGAGCTTGATCCTTGGGAATGTAAGCAAGTTTTGTATATAATTCAAAGAAAACCAATTGTTTAAACAATGATAATAGCCTTTGTTTTGTTTTACTCCTAAGAAATGAGCGGCAATTTTTCTAAAAATATACTCCTAAAACTAGGGGGGGAAATAAATAGTACAAACCAGAACCCCTGTTTATAACTCAGGCTGGCACTGAATAGGCAAGGAGAAAATTTAACAAGCGGGAACCGCACATTATGTTTAGCAAATCTGGGTGGAGGTCAGCAGACAGAAAGAATACGCTCCTCAGTAATGGCTGTTACCGAGCAAGCCACAATAAATCACACCACTATAATCCAAGCTGATGTTTGGACCCTTGTGTATGGAGACAGTGTATCAAACCCATCAGCCTTTCAAGCCCCTTTCAGTCATGCCTGCTGCTTTGCTCCATGCCTGTTTTCCTTGGGCTGAAACACCTACTGTTCTTTATTTCACAACCATTTAAATTTAGTGCTCTTACGGGAGCGAGGGGAAACAAGACCCAAACACTCGATGGTTGGAACGGACAGTAAGCGCTTGGGAACCAACCCACCTCTGCTTAAAGACCTTTCTTTAAGCTAAAGAGTTAATTTAACTTTAGGCCAGAGGTTTACTGCTGCAAGGTGTCTGTTTTCTCTAGCTGGCCATCAGGTAAATTTCATGACACAAGGTGTTATCTCATTAGCGGGGACAGATGCAGCAGAGGGGCCAGATCTGCTGATTGTCTCAAGCATCAGAGCCCAAATTGCTGTGGCACCCTGGGCCAAGGCAGATTTCAAGTAGCTGACACCCTGTTCTAGCATTTCTGTGTCCTTTTTTTAAGGTTTTTCTTTTTTTTTTTTCTTTTTTTTTTGGTTTTTTTTTGTTTTTTTGAGGGAGGGGTGGGGGTGAGAAGACTAAAGCAGAGTCAAACTACAGCCCGATTTCAGTCTGACACCTCAGCAAAATAACTCTGAAATAGCTCTGTGTAACAATCCCTACCAAGTGCCCTGGCCATAGCTATAAATCAACATGACTCTGTGTTCATACAGTTGGAAATATGTAGGTGAGAAGGGAAAATGTTTTGAAAACGCTAAACATGTTTAGATTGCCCCAAAGTTTCTGATAAAATTCCTGCATCAGAAAAGTCGTTTTAGCTTCAAAACATGCCAAAACTCCATGTCTGTTTAGATATGGGAATGAGCAAAAGCTATTAAAATAAAATGTATGAAGGTTCAGACCAGGCTGCATAGAATTTAATGGAGTGAAACAGCTGACAGCATTTCACTTGCAGAGAAAGAAAAGGAAGCATGTGTGTTACAACCAGCTTTCTTTTACTCAACGTGATCATACAAAATGCATATTGAGCTGAGGGCATAATTTGAGTGCTGTGTGCGTACATATTTAATAACTAAGTCAAAAATTCTGTTTTCATGGTACTTGGATTTTTAAAATTAAAAATTGTTTTTGTGTACTTCAGCCTATATAACACTTGGCTGGGTGGTTAGTTCTTTTCCCCTGCGTAGTTAATAATGGATTACTGATTCAAGATTTCAAAATTTGTATTTAATCTGGAGCTTTTTCTGAGCTGTGGTGTAAAATGACGGCTTACTGCTAAAGACACTCAAGCAGACAATATTCAAGAAACTCAGTTATCACTCTGGAATATTCTTCATTCTCAAAACATTTTTATTGATTTCCCCAGTGGCAGGAAGCCCTGTGGTATCAAAGGTGACCCAGTTATGTCTAACAACCCAGCAGTAAATGATTCAAGAGGAAGGGCACTGTACCCTTAAGTTAGTAATTTCGGTTATGGGCACTTTATGGTCAGAATAAGATTAATGCAATCCTCTGAAACTGACTTCTCCATGTAAACTTGTTCAGCTGCCAGACACAGAGCTAGGCACAGATTTTTTTTGTATTTTTTTGACAATGCGATACTTTGAAAAAGACTAGATTTACGATGTAGCTGGAATTCTTTGCTTGGGATGAACGTAAAAGAGATCAGTTGTTACAGGGACTTTTATAACCCATTCACCTTCATTTCACATGTTTATGAGGACTGCCTTCACTTATGATATACAGCCTGCAGCCATAAAGCTCTGGGTTATACGGTTATTTCTGATACAGAGTTGCTTCATCTTGGCTCCAAACTCCACGGAAGAGTGTCATAAATGGCTTGTTTGCAGTGGGAACCTTGTTGTCACCCACCAGCTTTTCTGCTGGCCAAGGGAGGCTCTGCTCGGTAAAACACGCTCCCAAGGCATGCTGTTTTTTTGTACAATGATAAAATGGGCGATGATAAAAAGACCTTTTCATGAAAGTAAGGCTGTTGTATGTGTTACCCCGGGGATGCCCAGGAAAGTTTTCCCCAGATGTGGTGCCACCGAGGGCAGGTGATTAAAGTGGATGATTTTTCCAATGAGTCAGGAGTATCAGTGGCAGGATCAGAGCTGCCCTTCACCCACCACACAGGGGAGAGGGCACTGAACTGGCTGGGGAGGCGGCACGGGAGTGATGTGCCTTCTGTCCAGCTCAATGGAGCTGTAGTGGAGATATTTCCTAGCTCTCCTGCTGGAAAAAATCCCTGTGCCTGGTGGTCTGAACAGACTTCTGATCGCCAGCTCCCAGATGAGAATTTTGCCTCTGCTGTGACTGCCCAGGGTTGAAAGACATTCAGTACGCCTTCACAGCATCTTTCCACTCTCTGATATGAGGATAATTCCGTTCTAATTCTGGGCTGTGGCTGACAGATACTATTAAAGAAAGGCTCCTACCATCCCCGCCATGTGTTAAAGGACTTTTTACAAAGCACAAAGACATAAATCATTCTCTGCTGCCCACCTGTTCATGCCGTGTTGCCTGTGCTTGCCCCCGCGCAGCCTTCGTCACGGCGGATGGGGCTGTCCTGTGCCAACTGCCACACCACCACCACCACGCTGTGGCGCAGGAACGCCGAGGGCGAGCCCGTCTGCAACGCCTGCGGCCTCTACATGAAGCTCCACGGGGTGAGTGGCTGCTCCAACAAAGGGACATCCCCTGCCAGCCCTGGTGGGCTTTGGGGAAGGGGTGCTCCTCAAAATGTCACCAGCAAAATGCGTAGAGCAACCGAAAAATGTGTGACTTCAGAAGATGATTGTACCACTTTAACTTGTTATGCTTTTGAGTAGTGATGTGTTTGCCACTGTAGCTCTCTCAATAGATTCATATAAAGAAACCACCTCTGGACGAGCAGCAGTGGTGTTTTTGCCACTGGGATTTAAGCCAGCTCTTTAGTAGGGAAAAGATCCCTAGGCCTTTAATGAGACAGTTTTCCATGGGCAGACATAGCAATGCCAGCAAAAGGGCTATGGCTATTCAAGCCATAGCCAGAAAAACTTTAAAGGCAATTTCAGCCTTTGTTGGGCAATAATAAAGTAAAAAAATTAAAGTAAAATAAAGCTCTGTCCTGAATGTGATAGAGCGTGTTTTGGGTGAGACCCCTGTGGATTGTGTTACTGTGAAGCATAAATGTTTGAAGAGCAAGGGCATTAGGAATGATTGAGACGTGGTCTAGCCTTCAATAAAATGCAAATTATGTCACAGGTTTAAATATTATAATGATAGAGAACACATGAATTTTCTTTCCTCAAACTGGTGTTAAAATATATTTTAAGCTGGTATCTTTGTAGTGTGATTATTATTGTAATGAACACAAAGATTATTTTTCAGCACATTTAAATACAAATTTATCCCTATAAATATAAATTTAGATACTGTAGAGCTGTATTATGGGCAGATCTGCTTATAGGAACAAATACTAAGTCAATTCTTCTATTCTAAACCTTCCGTCCTAAGACTTTTCCTTGTGATGATCTGGTTTGCAGAGCTGGTCCACAGGATGAGGATGAATTTTTTTCTCATATACATTCTTTCTTTCCAGAATCAGGCACTGGAGATAATTCCTAACTTACTGGAATAATAAATCAATGATCAGATATACCCCATCCAATTTAATTTCTTATGGCTTACTGCCAAATGATGCTGGTTTTCCCTAATGCTGTCCTGTTTTCCTGTGGATTAATTGAGGAGTTGAAAAAACTATGAAGTTTGCATAGAGAAAAAAAAGTTTCCCTACTTTCTTAATTCAGCTACGACTCCCCTTGAATGAAACTATTGTTTTGCCCAAATAAAATGCAAATATTTTTTAGAATTAGTACTGTGACACAGAGAAAATTAACTTGCTATACAGACATTTGCAACATCGTATCTGGTTTTGTAGTATATTTTGATTTTTGATTAGAGTACCTATGCAACTCTGTGATTAGTGTGGAAATTTAATTTTTTCAGGTTCCTCGGCCTCTCGCTATGAAAAAAGAAGGAATTCAGACAAGGAAGCGAAAACCTAAGAATATAAATAAATCAAAGGCATGCTCCGGTAAGTATAAAATATATGAAAGTGTAGCTGCAATAGTTTGTAGTTGTATTGGTTTTTTGCTGTTGTTGTTGTTTGGGTTTTTTTTTTTTTTTTTCCCTTCTCTGTCTGGAAAATATTTATTTTTAATGCCAATTCCCAATTTTCCAGGTAACAGTACTACTGCAGTTCCCATGACTCCGACATCCACGTCCTCTACCAACTCAGACGACTGTAGCAAAACGGCTTCTCCCGGCGCACAGCCTGCAGCCTCCGGGGTGAGTGTCTGCATCTGCAGGCAGGCTGATCACTGGGCAGTGTTATCACAGCTTTTATCTTATCTAGCAGAACAATAATCTAAACAAACTTTCCAGTTTTGTTAGCTGATACCAGAACAAGATTTTCGGAGGATATTACATATAGCTGTAAACAGAGCGACAAGCTGAAGTACTTTGCAAACCTTCTTGATTAAGATCTATATAATTTTTATGATAGTTAGCCGCAGCTTAACCGCAGACATTTTGTTTTTAAATATTCAGGTTCTTTAATTTCAAAGGCTTTCTTTTGGACAGAAGACAATAAAACATGCTCAACCTATCCTTTCACGAAACAATTATACATACACACACACACACACACACACACACATATATATATATATATATATATATATATATATATTTATCCCAATGGGTAAAATCCAGAAAAACATTATCCTGCTGTATGAAGTCAATCATACAGGCTTTTGTCTTAAACTTAGAAGTGCAATTAAACCCTGATCCAAACTCAGCTGAAGTCAGGCTGGAGCACTCTGCTGACTGCAGTGCGTGGGGGTTCAGCCCTCTGCCCACAGAGGGTTTTTCAGGGGCCAGATGCTCAGCATCTGGCAGCACCAAGCTCCAGAGGAGCACCCGAGGAGTGCTGATCATCCCCTGCTTTAGCTTTGATCCTTATTTTACATCATGTACTCCAACCATCTCAAACTTCCTTTCTTCACTCAGCATGTGTGATAAATACTGCTGCTAAACTTGTGAAGCTGAATGTAGATTAATTTCTAGCTGCTTGGCTGTACCTATCCATATCCACACTCACTTCTCAGCCTTCTGCATCCCTTAATCTGCCACATAATTTCTTTGAGAAACTTTTCTAATGTGGCTTTCTTTAGTTCTTTATTAATGAAAAGAAGACATTGTTTATAATAGCTATTTTTCAGTATGTCTTGGATTTTCTACATTCAAATTACTTTCAATAGTTTAATTTCTGATGTACAAAGTTTCATTGTACAAGGGGAAGAAAAACTCATTTTTTAGCAAATGTGATTGTTTGTGGACTGACAGGGCCACCCATTTTCAGAGGCACTGGATTTTGGGTTTGGATCCTGTGAGACTGGGATAGTACTAAAAGGGCTTGTCTTTGACATGAGAAAACCCTGTCAATCCAGTAAAATAAACAGATCACATAAAAAAAAAATAGAAACACTAACTTAAATGTGAGCTGTTGCAGTTTCAGAATTGGGTTTCAGACTCCCCCAAGGAGCTACTATGCGCTGTTTAGGCTCTCCCTTGGTATTTGCAAAGGAAAAAATGTAGTCAAATTTTCCTTAAATTTTCCTTGTGTTACCTCAAGCAGTACTAGTGGTCCTGAGCAGTGTAGTGAGGTTTATGTGTTGGATAGACAGGGAGGCACAATCCCAGGCTAGACTGAGCCAGCACATCCATGTGCTGCTTGAGGAAGGAGAGGCCATATAGACGAGATCTCATATCCACTATGCTGCTGCCTCCTTGGCTGGCTAAAACCTGACTTCCTTTCTGTGGTATTTCTCCCTAGAAGGGCACATCAAACAGGTTATTAATAATCTTTATGTTATAACTTAAGTAGTACCATTTTTAATATGGTTTTGCCAGATGGAGTTGTGTGGGTACCAGAGGAGAGGGGTGCAGGGGCATGGATTGAGGGCTAAAAGACTCCTTGGGAACTCCTTAGCAACTAGGAGCAACTCCCAGGAGGGACCTTGAGACTGCTCTTACTTACATGAGGGCATCCTCAGTGACAGGACTTCAGTTCTCCCTGATTTTTCTACAGTAGATCAGACTGGGAGAGGACACCTGTACAACAGCTGGGAAAATCTGTCCCCTTATATCCAGCAGGCAGCATGGTAACATCTGCGCAGCCTTTTCCCCACCATGATTTGATCAGATGTGCCTTGCATATGCAAAGCACTTGCAGATACCCCCTCGTGAAAGATTTCAGTGAACGGAAGTGATGGAGAGGGACTGTGCCATGTGCTGAAGAGAGGAAGTTGCAGTGGCAACCAGACGTAGGGTCATCCTCTGACTCCATCCCAAATTATGTGAAGGGCTACTGATCTCCCACCCCTGTGCCCCAGTCCCAGATGTGTGTGAATAAAAAGGGGATTTCCAAGGGAGCAGTTGTCAGGATATGTCACGGGCACAGTCACGTCCTTCACTCAGGCTTCTGGCTTTGCCCAAGCAAGCATCTGTAATTCAAAGGGATGAGGACTTGGGAGGCTGGAAGTTTAAAGTAGAAAGTGGTGGCTGTTAAGATGGGGTCTCATCCCAGACATCATTTGGGAACATGATCACTAACTGCAAAGAATGCAAAATAATTTCTAAAGGGTCTAAATCCTATGGAAGGGACTGAGCACTCGTAAAGCTCATTTAAGCTGTTGTGAGTGAAGAGATGTCAGTATTTTAGAGCAAGGCAGCCTGATCACATGCTGAAGCAAAGATGCTCTGCTAGACTTCTGTTTTCTTGGTTATTTTTTCTTTTTCCTTTTATGTTGATCTATTGATAGATCAAAGGTTTGTAATTATTTCTAGAATAGGCAATGGCTTTGCAAAGGAGAATAAACTTCTTCAGCTCATGTCAGGAGGGAGAAAACTAAACCCTCAGATGGATGAATCCAGGCTCTGTAGTCTTTGGTGACTTTAAAAAGACCAATGTTGATTTCTGACAGTGGCCTGCCTGAACAGAGAACCTGGCTCGTTCCCATGCCTTACACAACGGGCATGGCAACTTGTTTTTGTTTTGCTCTGTTTTTGCTTCTCTAGCTTTTATTCTGTGAAGAGGGGGAAAACGCCAAATTGACATTAGGCAGAGAAATCTGATGACGTTTTAGAAACTGTTGTGTGAAATTCACAGCAATGTTGTTGCTAAATGAAACAGAGAAGATGAATTCCTCTACTGGTACAAAAGCAATTTATTATGCCTTTTGTGGGAGGCTGCCAAAAAAGTTTCCAGTTATGTAGAAATCTAATGGAAATGAAATTCAGCAGAATTCATTTGTGTCAGTAATGTTCACTTTTTGCCCTACCTTTCTTTATCTCTTTTAAAGTAAAATAAAGAAGGGAGGGCAGAAAAAGAGGAGGGCAGCAATTACTCTTGGCCGTGTCTTTGAGACTATCCATTTTACAAAGGGAATCTTATATGATGCCAATTCTGAGATAAATTAGCAAGAACCTTAAATGTTGATTTTACGTTCTAGCTGAAGTTTAAACATTTAAGTGATACGATTAATGAATTGCTGTGGGGGCAAAGTTGATTTCAAACATCCCAAAATGTAGAAGTGTTTGGATCGGAGATATTTTGTTGTCCTATTGTAAAGGGGCTATTTGCCAAATTCACATCTGGATCTAGGATCTAGGCCTATTTCTGTTTTCCTAAGCACAATAAGTACTGGGTGTCCTGTGTTACTAATATGGAAAGGGTCCAGCTGCATGATATATGAAATTGCCTTACGTCCCCATAAAAAGAAGATTTGAAGGTTTCAGACAGCCTGCATCTGCATCTATACCTGCTCTCCCTTTGATGCTGCTGAAACTGTACAGGGAAAAGTTCCACCAAATAAATTGCTAAATGAAGGGCATGGTCTGTAGTGCAAACCCATCCATTTCCATGCAGGGGCTCCAACAAGTGTGATAACCAGAGGGACTTTATTCCCTTATTAGGATAAAGGCAGTATGAAACCTGCTGTAAAATCTGCTTTTTTATGGCAGGACACGGAGGCTCCTTGAGCCACAACTGATGTCAGAAAAACTCAGCAGGACCAGGGGAACTCTTCTTTCAGAAGGCTCTCCTGTGTCCTTTGCATCCAGTTTGGAGTTTTCTCAAAAGGACCATAATCTCACACCACAGAAAAACTCAGGAGGAAAAACTAGCGCTTACTTCCCTTGGAGGTTTACCTTGAGAAGTGGTTCATGACTGGCTCTTCAGTTTTGTAGGGTGGGAAATGAGAGAGCTGACTGAGATGGCCTCAGCATGTGGTGAGCTAGCAGGAAAAATGCAGTTTTAACTGTCTCCAAAATGCTGGACAAGTGGGGCTGGACTGGATTAATGCCTTCTCCTGCATTTGCCTTCTCTTTTTTCCTGCCAGAAGAAGAGGATTGAGCTCTTCTCAAGAGGTGGTGTTTAGGCAGCAAATTGATAGGACATTCATGCTGGCTACAGGGAAATCAGCCTCCAGAGAGTACGTCCTGTGTCTGGATGAACCGGAGATTCAACCTCTTAAAGCAATGTGCTAGCCACCTGGATATAGGGGAGCTGAATGTCCAGGGGTCCTTCAGATTATCTGATAATAATATTCCAGTTGTATGGAATAACTTTGTAGGTGTTGGGACAGTTTCCATGAGAAAGGCTCACCAGCATGGTTGGTAGGACTTTCACCTGGAAAATGGGAACATGGTGCCTCAGTCCTGGTATGAGTAAATATTTATCTAAACCAGGTGGAATAAGATCAACAGGAGGCATGAGGAACGTGGCAACCTAAAATACCAAAGAGCATGGCAGACAGGGCAGTATGCTGGGAGATATGATACTCTAGACTCTAGTTTAAATTTTTCTTGGTCTCCTACCTCTTCTGCATCAGTGCTCGGTCCTGGACAAAATGGGAAGCTACTTTCTTCTTCCCACTCAGTTTCATACACTGAGTCTTTTGCTTTTACATTGAGTAATTTTCTTTGTTCTGTGTATATGTATTCAAAAAAAAGGCATTTCATTTTTATATCAAACAGAAGGAAGCAATCCAGCTTTTTTGTTTCAGTGGGGAAAAGCAAGGAAAAAGTATTTTTGCTTCTATCCCAAAATTCTACATGCACATGGACGCATACCTTTTGCTTGGTTTTGTTTTATTGCCAAAGCAATAAAGCCAGTTACTCATACAGCCCTTGACAGCAGTGGGTCATCAGTTTTCCAAGCCATGCTGGAAGTTGCCTCCCTTAGGAAATTAATGAAGTATTAACCACAGATTTATGTTGCTATAATACAAAGGAGAGATTAGAAGATATGTAAACTTACACGTCTGCAGTATAAACAAAAGGATCAATTGGACTAGCAAGAAATGACAGCTTTGTGTACTAAGAGGGTCGTTACATCAGTAAAAAAAGCTGTCATTTTGCAGTGCCAAGACTTTCTCATTGGATTCCAGGGAGTGACAGTGTTGGGAAAACGTGCTCTTTGTGGGGATGGGAGTTATTGCAGGGAGGCTGAGGCTGGAAAATTAGGGACTCCATCAGCTTGCCACAACACTTCATGTGTGAAAGAATTCTTTGCAAATGTATTTTAACTGACCGTAGATATCATTTACGTATTGCGAAAGTAAACTAGGCTGAGGAGGAAGAGAGTCTCAGCTGAGACTCAGCTTATTGCTGACTTAATGTAATGTCCAAAATTCATGGAGCATTTTGAACGTGTTAAGTGGATGGAGCAAAGGTCTATCTGATAGACCAAAGGTCTGGATCAAGGCCCTTTGCCCCCCTCCAGCTGACCTTGCCCAGCGCTTTTCCCTCTTGGCTGCGGAGGTGTGGGGGAAGGCCAAAGGGGAAAGTGTCCATCCCCTCTCCCTGCTCTCTGTGGTGGGCAGATGGTGCAGGAAGGAGTGAGTGGAAAAAGCAAGAGTCTTTCAGCCAGAGCTGCTGCTGCTGTTCCCCGAGTGCTGGCAAGTGCAGCCTGAGCAGCCTGGATTTGATGTGGAGCAGCTTTAGTGGGGGTTAATCTGCCTCTAAGGTCCTGATGGCAGGTTTGGGTGCAATCTAGTTGTCTCTGTGGCTCGGGCAGAGTTCTTGGCGCCTCTGTACATGGTGGGAAGGTCTTCTACAGAAAGGCCACCTCAGATACAGACCACCTGCCTGGGGGCTGACTCATGACCAGATCCTCCTGGTTTGGGTAAAAAGAAGAATGTTTGCAGATACAAACACAACTTCCCTGTTTGTTTGAGAGGCAGGCTCTTCCCAGTGGACTTCATTAATTTTTTCCTCTGGAAGCTCACCTTCAGCTGATTATCTGTTATCTATTATCTATTATCTATTATCAGATTTCACCAATAAAAATAAATTAATTACCTTTTTATAGATAGAGCCAGTAGCTGTGAATTAGACCCCAATGCTGACTTAATCAGCATTGTTCAGCTTATTTATTTCAGCTGAAAAAAGTCCTCTATTAACTAAGTGCAGCTTCTGTTGTCTTTCATCCCTTAAAGCTGGAAAAGTAAGAGCAAAGGTAGGGAGGCTCAGGAACAGACTTGTGATTCTGTCACGTCCTTTTCATGAGCCAAAGTTTGTTTTCCATGTCTCACTTTGGGAGCTGCCCAAGCTGCCTGGATTTGTCATGACTTTACTGGGGTGGGGTTTCCAGGGCTGGCAGTCCTGCCCGGGTCCTGCCCGTCCTGGCTCAACAGAGCCAGAATCCGGCCTTGGACAGGCAGGGATGGGCAGTCCTCAAACAGGACGTGCCTCCATGTCCTCCCTTCTGGGGTGCCCGAGGGAGGGGTACCGCATAACCCCACATGGAAACTGTGGGTCCCTGCACCCCACCTTTGTAGGGCTGAATCAGGAAAAGGTGAATTACACTTTCCAAGCCCGGAAAAAACAGGTACTGATAAGATATTTGCGTACCAGAACAGCAGTGGTAAATATGGGCGAATGGGAACCTTTCAGAGCAGCTCCTTTAGTATTTTTAGCTCAGGTTTAGCAAATGCTGCTCAACTAATTTAAACCCTTCTTCCACTGTGGGAAGACTGAAGCTATTAAAAATTATGTCTATTGTGCTAACAGAAATGTTTGAGGCATTAGAAATAAAAGGAAGGCTTTGAAAAGCTGGGCTGATGCAAGACCAGGGCTGTACACAAAGGTTAGCATGGAACCTGCCTCACTGAATTCTCCATGCACAGTCACAGGGAAAGAGGATACAGAGATTCATTGTCAGTGATTGGCAACTGTCTGTTCAAGGGAGGGATAAAAGCAACTGTCTGTTCAAGGGAGGGATAAAACTTATCTCTTAGGATTAGAGCTGTTTCAGCTGGTTTTGGGGGACAGCTTTTTTTTCCTTCCTTCTCTGCATTTCTGGGTAGTGACTAATGGAGTGGGATCAGGGTTGATGACTGGGTGGAAGAATACTGACGGTCAATCGTTTTAATAAAAGGTTAAGAAAATACTGGAGCCCAGGTTATTTCAGACAAAAATGAGTGCTAGCAGTGAGTATCTCTTTCAGAAGGTGAGGTTTTCCCTGGGTTAAGCATGGCAACAAGAACCCTGCTCCACACCATTTGGAAATTACCCTTGAATTAATGAAGTCTTGCTTTTCCTATGTCAGGACCGCTCGCTTGGCACAGCTCCAGGAGAGCCAAGAGCTCTACTCTTGTAAAATGATTAAATATGTATACTTCGTACTTAAACAGCAGGCAGGAAGCTTCTGCAGTCACAGTTTAGGATAGCCTTTTTCTTTTTTTTTTTTTTTTAAGGAATTTCATCCGAAGACTATCCATTAACAAGTAAATTAAGGCTTTAAAGTTGACATATCCAAGAGTTAATTTTGCATGAAGTCAGCTCTTAAACATTTCCTTTATCAGGTGAAAATGTTGCCCCTTCTCTGTCTGGCACTGCGAATTTTTCCTCTTTAGCGGATCTGCTCAGCCTCATGGAAAAAATGATTGTTCCTTTGTCTTTTTAACTCTCCATTTCTCTGTTAAAATAAATGGACTGATTCCAGTGTGGTTCAGAGGTTCATCTCCGTGCCTACCAGGGCTTCCCTGAATGTTGTCTTGTGCAGTCAGCAGAACAAAAATATTCTTGCTTCAAAGGCATAGTGTTTCTCTGCTGAAGATTAAAAGAGCATCTCCTTTAGTGGCCAGTCCTACAGGGACAAAGTGGTTTTGGCTGGTGTTTTGAAGGGTCAGGAATGATTTTAAGCATTTCAAGGGCTGAAGAGCCCAAAGAAAGCTGCTTTCCAGAAGGTGCTGTGTATCTGCTCTTGGAGAATTAGGATGTATTGGGCTTCTCCCATGGGGATGAAAAAGTAGAGCTGCCACCACTCCCAGATCACATTTTTGATGCTGACAGCTGTGTCTTTTCAGTAGGGGGCAGTGGGACACATGCACATTTCCTTCTTCATCATGAGGTGATTTCCAAGTTTTCTGCACATCACATGGTTTCGTTTCTACCTCTCCAAACACAGACATCACTGCCATCAGCAGGTCTGGGCGTCTCGGCTCATGCTGAGACATTTTTGTTTCAGGATTTCAAGGCACAGAGGCAAGCAGAGGGCAAAGCCTGTTTTTGCACAGAAATCCTGTCGTGATGGCTGTGCTTCAGGCCTGCCGTGCTCTCACTCATACCCCAGTGTGTGCCAAGCTCACCTGCTCAATGAATCTCTCTCTGCTCTCCACCTCCCTGCAGGCGAGCTCGTCGGTGATGTCTGGCCCCGGAGAGAGCACCAGCCCCGAGAGCAGCAACCTCAAGTATTCAGGTCAAGATGGGCTGTACACAGGAGTCAGCCTGAGCTCCACGGCCGAGGTGACAGCAGCTGTGAGGCAGGATCCCTGGTGTGCCCTGGCTCTGGCGTGACCTGGCGCGAGGGAAGCTGGATCCTGGCAGCCCCCAGACATCTGCGCGCAGTTTCCTCTGTGGAGAGAGCGGTCGCAGCGGCAGTGAGAGTGCTGGCAAAGACCATTCCTCTGAAACAGTTTTTGAGCCTTGGTGGCAGAGGTGGTTTTCTACTTCCGAAAGAGGCTTTGCCAAAGCATCCAGTTCCTCAACTATGCAAGAAAAATGTAGGGAAAGCAAATGACCACCGGGGATAGCTAACGCAGCCTTACACTCTTAAAAAAACCCTTCAAAGCCCCCCTCAAAAAACATTAAAAAAAAAACCAAAAAAAAAGGAAAAGAAAAAACAACAACAAAAAAGAAGAGATAAACCCACGCCTATTGTTAGATTCCAGAAATACATCCTCAACTTACCCTGCAGCGCTGCCTTTCTGATTATGTAGTTGTTTTCACTCTCTCGTTGCCTTTTCCCCTAAGAATTTGGTGGAAGTTGTCAATGTCGAGGAGGGAGTAGCAAAGACTTTATTTACCAGAGATAGTGAGATACTTTTTAATGAGTGTCAGAAGCGCTTACAGCTTGAGTTGACACAGACTTCTCGCACCGAAGATTTGGTGTCTTCGCCCCGTCAGACCTCTCCTTCCATGCTCTTCATCTTCAGTGTGCCTTGCTCTGCTCTTCAGAGCCCAGCTATGTCCCTGGAAGAAATCACAACATTTGGTACAAGTCCCACAAGGTCCAGCTGGTTAAGGAGATTTTGGGATTGGTGTTTTTTGGTTTAAAATATTTACTCACTTTTCAAGACTGCGATATAACTTTTAAAGTACACTGTGACTGAGATTTATGAAAGTCCATATTTCCTGGCTGAACTGTGTGTAGAGTCAGTCAAAATTTGTAAACAGGGTAGCAATCAGATATTTTTCTTCCATATATACAATAATTTTTTTAAAGAAGTGCAATTTGCGTTGCAGCAATCAGTGTTAAATCATTTGCATAAGATTTAACAACGGTTTTTATACGAATGAATGAATGTAAACATTTTAACTTAATGGTACGTAAATAATTTAAGAGAAAAACTTAACTAGGCATCCTTAGGCTTTTTAGCGCAACAAAAATGCACCCACCTCCTGTATTTCCAGTTGTTAAAGCAAGAGTTTCAAAGAACAAGCCTTCTCTCAGGAAAATTGCCCTAGCCATTTGCTCCAAAGTGTTGTACAAAAATGCAAATGCATCCCCAAGGGGTTTTTTTTGCCATTGAGTAAGTGTGTGGTGGAAAGAAACAAATTGCAATGAAACTTTACTACCTAACTGATACATGTGTAAATACTACAGAAGATATCTAGGCATCTCAAGAATGTAGGATGCAATCTGTATAGTGTGACTGATGCATAGTTAGGTTGGTTTTCATTGGTTTTAAAGTGGGACATCATTTGGAAAGTTGTTTCATCAGAGCTTTACAAATAAAAGGGTATCATTTTAGATTTTTTTTTTCTGTACAGTGTGCCTTTTCCTTTGTCTCCAACACAATTGTTAAGCTGCATTAAAAGCTATGGAAATGTACCTGGTACAGGTGGCATGTCTGATGGCTGCAAGGAAAGTCTCCAGCTGAGGTGTCTGCTCTGCACTGTGGGCTTTTCCTGCAATTCCCTTCACTACACCTTCTGATGATCTGTAAAACTAGGGCTTCCACCTACCAACACAGGCTCCTCATGGACACACATGAAGTTTTTGTGATGAAAGTTTGGGGAACTGAGCCCATGCCCTGTGAGGACTATCACACCATAGCTAAAGGGTGTCAGCCAGGTTCCCCGAGTAGGCAAATATCAGAATGTTACCCACTACAGGTGTAGCTGCTGAGTGGCAGAGGCTTTGAGTGCTTTGCTGACATCTTCCTGTGGCCAAAGGTGAAGGGCAGCAAAAACTGAAGGCACTGCTGCTGAAAAGAGAAGACAGTGAATTTTAGCTACTCAGGGAAGTGGAAAACCTTTTCCACTTGATGGCTCTGAGGACTGGTTCTCTTCATTGCTCAGTTCATTGGGGCCAGACTAATTGCCAGGTGTGATTTCCAGCTATGGCAGCAGTGCTGTTGGACTGGGAATGCCCAACCCCCATACCCATGGAGTGGCTGCACTTTGTCCCTTGGTCTCTCTATGCCAGACCTTCTTTTGGGGTGAATTGGGGTAGCTCCTTGGCCTCCAGTGAAGCTGTGCTGACTTGCACCAGCCAAGAATATACTGACTTGCACCAGCCAAGAATCTGCCTCTGGGTTTTCCAAACCTGACACATGGGGCCGCCTCCTTACGCCTGAGGTGTTGTGAGGACTGTGGGATGAATGGTGCAGCACAGCCTCAGGAGGAAAACTGATCCTAGCACAAAAGGATCAGGCTGAGCCCTGCCTGGGGTTTGGGTTGCTGTGGCCAGCCAGGAGTGGGGATCACTTGCCCTTCTTGGCAGGGTTGCCATGCCATGCTCACTGCTGGGCCACCTCACGTCCTGGCTACCTGTGGGTTAATGTAGCCAGGTACCTCAGCCCTGCTAGCCCTGGGGCCATGTGGGTTTGGATCTGGCTTCTGATTTACAGAAATAAATACCTCTGGTGATTTACAGAAATAAATACCTATCTAGGTGCAAATTGAGCCATGCAGAGAAACACTGGGCTTAAAAAACAAAAGGTGTGGACAAGAAGGTGGATATCTTTCCTCTTGAAGCATCTACTGGCTAAAATGCCCTGATTTGTGATTTTATAAGTGTTGGCACTTAAATGGATAAAAAAGCTGTTGCTAACTGGTGTTGCAGTGTTCAGCCTTAGCTAGGGTCAGCATCCTTTCTTGTTTCCCTTTTTCCATTTTTCTTGCCAGGGTGATGTTCAGTGTGCCATTTCTGTAAAGCTTAGCACATAACCCGTACCTGTTGGGCGTGTCTGAGCTGCATGGCTCAGAGTTGCCATAGAACAGGAGGTTTAGACCAGCGTGTTCCAGTTTCAGGCTGCTGAGCCAGCAGGAAATGTTATCTGGTTGCTGATGCTCTTGCTGGTGGCCTGTGGACGCCACGTTGCCTTGAAACCCTGTGGCACCTGTTTCAGAGGGCTCCTCGGAGGCCCTGCTCTCTTCCCAGCACCACCTTAGCCCAGGGTCTGTCTTAGGGTGGTTTCTGCAGATGGTAAGTCCTGCAGGGGGCATATAAAGATGCCCTACGTGAAAACCTTCCTCTTGGATCTGAGGATGAAAATGCTCTTTTAGGTGATCTCAGGAGACAAAAACCCCCTAGAAACCCCCAATATTTCATAGGGAAGGTGTTTCCAATTACTTTTTATCTGCAAAACCATCAAGAATGGAATGCTTTGCCTCCTTGGACCAGAAGCACAGCTGTCAGGTTTTCAACTCTCTGTAAGAGTCAAAGGGGGTAGCACTAGGTTGCCTTCGTGAAAAGGTGCTGAGGACCTCAAAACCAGGTTCAAAAGACTGCAAGAACGTACCTCCATACTTACCAAACCTGCTTTCCAAATGTACTGATTGCTGGAGCTGCTACTCCTACACAAAATGAAGGTTTCTTCTTTTTTTCTAATAATGATTTTACATGTTGGTCCTGCTGAGCCAGCACAGCTCTGAGTGTGTGAGCTGGACTTTGCTCTGGCTCTTATATTGCTGATATCACTGCTCCTGCAGGATGACCTGGCCAAAAGCTTTTCTCACTTATCACCATTTCTCTGCAGTGACAGCCCTGGGCTGGGCTTCAAAAGAGCAAAGGAAGAGTCTGACCATGAGTTTTGTTTACTAGTGAGGCTGAACAAGCCAGGATGACCCCAGAGCATCTTTCTAGTAACAGAATGAAGCTTTAGAGTTGACATTTGAGCCACTTTTCATATTAGCCATATTTGCCATATGGCCACTTTTCATATTAGCAACTTTTCTCTGGAAAGAGTAAAAATTAAACACCAAATATCCCAGAGCATCTGCTTCAGAGTCCCCCATCAAGCAATATTAGAAGGCTCAAATTTGCTTGAGCGGCCCCTTAAGATCTGACTGCTCCTGTCCACGTGTGTTACCCTGGCCTCCAATCTTCCCTAGATCCTGTTTTAGCAGTATTCCTGACACCTTCACCCAGAATCAAAATTTCTTCTGTTCAAAGTGCTTGAAATAAGAAGAGGTCCCTACCGTGGCTCAGAGTGGTATTTTTCAGCATGGCAGTGAGGGTGTGTGCTGGTGTGGTATGAGAGGGTGCAGCAGCTGCCAGGCTTGGGTTGGTGACCTGGAGAACCACCCCAGGCAAAGAACCAGCCTTGGACAGGCTGCCCAAAGGGAGCAAAGGGTGTCTGGCTGTTTCCAGAACTGCAAGTGGGCTTTTTTCCTGTGAATGATCAGAGGGCAAAAATCTGGGTGTGAAGTGAGGAGCCAAAGTAGCTGATTTTTGTTTTGCTGCTGCAGAGCTAGGCAAAGGCATACATCAGCTCTGTAACATTTGCCATCTAGAACTCGGGTAATTTAATTAATGTCTGTTCCTGCACCAAAATAATATAACTTCTGCTCCTTTGTGAGAGAAGAAAGGATTTTGGAGTGACATCCTCTCCTTGCTATTGTGAGCCTTAGTTGAGCACAGGCTGCAGAAACCCAAAATGGACTTCATCTCTTCCTGTGTAATCACAGCTCCAGATCTTCCTTTATCCATCTGTCATGAACTTCATTCCTCACAGATCCTCCAGTTCCTAAGTCTGTATACACTGGACATTCCAGGGTTTTGTCAAACACACTAAATTCAGTATTAAAATATGGGGCAAGGGTTGTTGCAGTGGGCCAGTGAGAAGGAAACTGAAGGCTTGAGGAGCATTTTCATGTGCCTTCTGCTCCATATGTTGCAAAAGGCTTGAGGCCTCCACTACATATTTGTAACATGTTTTGGAAACACTTCTTAATATTTCCTCAAAGCTATCTGATGGAAGTTGGTATATCTAGGAGAGAGGAGTAGAATTTCACAGAATCACAGAATCATTTAGGTTGGAAAAGACCTTCAGGATCATCAAGACCAA